TATAGGTTTCTTAGCAGAAGGTAAGGGTACAATGTCCCAAGTATAACTAGCATCCAAGGCATAAAATTCCTTTCTCATGGCATCCTGCCAGGCTGGAACTGAGGCAGCTTGAAAATAACTGAAAGGTTCGGTTACTACAGGTGGTAAAGAGGAAGAACCAGAAAAAGAAGGAAGCTGGCAAACATAATCCTTCAAGTAAGAAGGAGTAGTGTGCTGCCTGGAGGACTTTCTAAGGGCTGGAGGATGGGGAGATGAAGGACAAGGCACATCCTGATGAAAAGGTTGTAAAGGAGAATACATAGGAGGAGGAGCATCAGAGTTAGGTAAAGAAACAATAGAGTTAAGAGAGACAGGAGGAAAAGGAGAGGAAGGAGGAGCATGAGGAGGAGAAAGTATAGGATCCTGATAAATGACAGAAGAAGGTGAAGGAGAAGGTATAGTGGAAGGAACAGAAGGAGTAGAAGTAGCAAAGGGGAAGCAGGTTTCATGGAAAAATACATCTCTAGAGACAAAGCATTTCTTAGTATTTAGGTTGTATAGCTTGTATCCCTTTTTAGTAAAAGGATAACCCAGAAATACACATGGAATGGCCCTAGGTTGTACCTTGTCTCTTTGAGGAATAGGAACAGTGGCATAAGCTAGACAAACAAAAGTCCTTAAGTGAGAGTAATTAGGAGGTTGCCCCATATAGAATCTCATAAGGTGACTTATTTTTAAGGATTCTAGATGGAATTATATTCAACAAGTATGTAGCAGTTAGAAGACAATCTCCCCAAAAAGTGACAGGTAGTTTGGATTGATACAATAAGGCTCTACAAGCTTCAAGAAGTGTTTTGTGTTTCCTTTCAACAATACCATTTTATTGTGGGGTGTGTGGACATGTAGTTTGGTAAATGATACCAAGTTGACTGAAAAAGAAAGAACCAGTGCATTGAATTGGGTTTGGACCATGGCTAAGAAAGCCTTGATCATAGAGAAAGCATTGTTTTTTTATCCCAATAGATGAGTCCGGGTGGCCTTGGAAAAATCACCAACAATGGTAAGAAAATATCTTGAACCAGAGGAAGTAGGTGTATGATATGGTCTCCATATATCAACATGAATCAATTGGAAAGGTCTGGTTGTACTAATTGAACTATCAGGAAAAAGAAGTCTAGTTTGTCTAGCCATAGGACAGGCATAACAAGGAAAAGACTGTCTAGAAGAAAGAGAAGAAGACAAAACATGAATATGTTTCATATTTGCAAAGGAGATGTGTGCCAATCTTTGATGCCACATAAAGTTAATATCATTCATAACAGCATTATTACACAAAGAAGAACTAATACTGGAAGCATCTTTAGGACTAGAAAGAGAAACAGATTTGCAAGATTCAACTACAGGGCATATAGAAACAGTGTTACATGAATTTGAAGTAGAAAAAATTGAAGAATCTGATGGTTGCACCCAGGTGACCTTGTACAGGCCATCCTCATCTTTACCAAGATCCAGAGGCATCTTCAGAGAAAGGGGCATGTAACATGTGCAACAAACAAGAAGTAGCAGTGAATAACAATATGCAATGTAGTTGCTTGATTAGTTAATGAACAAAAATTAAGTTGTGTTGAAATGAAGGGACAAACAATACATTATGAAGTGTGATTTATGGAGTTAAAGCAAAGGAACCGGTGGAGGTGACCTTCACTTTGTATCCATTAGGAAGGGTTACAAGGTAAGGAATGGTTAAGGGTGTAATATCAAAAAGTAATTCTTTATTAGAGGTCATGTGATCAGAAACACCTAAATCTATTATCCAGGTGATAGAATGAATTTGAGTAAGCAAGCAAAGTTTAGAATCAGAAACTGGACTTGCAGTTAATAAAGTACCAGCAAAATTAGCAGAACATATGAAATTGGCTTGAGAATTGGAAGCATCCCCTATATGAGACTGTTGTAACAGATTGATCAACTGATCATATTACTGCTTGCTCAGACATGGATTAATGGATCCCTGACCATCAATATTGGAAGCAGGATTGGTTCCCTCATCCAAAGTCCCAGCAGATTCAAGAACATTACCCTAAGAGTTAGTATGTGCTGCAGTAGATACATGAGCTGCAGCCTTTTTACCCTTGTTAAACTTTGGACTTTGTGGATACCCATGGAGTTTATAACACTTGTCAACCAAATGTCTAGATTTCTTACAGTATTTACAGAACAAAGGTGCTTTATTCTGATCAAAATTAATTCTTGGTGCATATGGTCTGGGAGGAGTAGAATTTGGAGTTGTACTAGGATTGAAACCAAAACCAAAAGCAGGCTTAATTTGTGTTCTAACATTGAAGGACATAGAGTCAGGATTGAATTGAGAGTTGGACTAGACTTGCCTCTACTTTTCTCATTAAGAAGGATGTTATAAGCATTGTCAAGGCTAGGAGGAGGTTGCATCATAATAAGATTAATCCTCACCCCTATATATGTCTCATTCAACCCCATGAGGAACTGAAATAGCTTATTATCATCATTCTCTTACAAAATACCAGGTTTTGCATCACAAGTTCACCTTTGTCCATGGTTAGTACATATCACTCCCAACTCATCCCATAGCCTCTTCAGTTTATTGAAGTATGAAGTTATGTCTAGTGCACCCTGGGAAGTATAGGCAAGTTCCCTTTTTAGTTCAAATATTTTGGTCTTATTTGCAGTCCCATACCTAGTTTGTAATTGTACCCAAATGCTCTGAGCAGTTTAAGAGTATTGTACACTTTCAGCTATCTCGGGGGATAATGAGGTTGCCAACCATGATATTACCTTGTTGTTGCACCTATCCCACAATTTTTGTACAGCTCCAACAGTAGCAGGCCGAGAACATGTACCATCAACAAAAGTTATTTTGTTTTTAGAAGACAAAGCAACTATTATTTTTCTCCTCCAATCCCCAAAACCAGTACCCGCAAAAGGAGCAGGAACTAACAAAATGCCAGGAATGTCAGATGAATGTATAAAGAGGGGACTTGAAAAATCAGGAGAAAAAGTATCAGTGGAACTCATGGCTATCGCACAGTATCGATAAAATGACGAGTACATGGAATAAAATTGCGACAAAGTTTCAACCAAAAACAGTTACATGCAACAGTCCTAAACACAAGAATAGGAACGAATTTTCCCAACTTCTTCGCTACCGGAGAAGAACGACCTTCAGATAACAGGAACCGTAGTTAACCCTAGCTTCAATTACTGAGCAACTCAGAGTGGTGAATACTTCTTCAAATCTCAACCAAAACGCCGGAAAATAACCCTAACGCTGGTTTGGAGTACAGATCGACGAAAAATTATTCCTTATGAAAGAAAAGAAATCCCCGATTTTTCGAACAATCAGAGACAGAAAAACTCAACCAAAATTGACTGGGGTAGAATCGGAAGAACGAGCAAGTCGAGATATACCAGAATCACTGCTCTGATACCATGAAAACATTGTAATATGAGTAGAGAATGAGAAGATTTATTTAGGGTTTCGTCTGTATTTTTTAGAGAGAAAAGCTTTGTTTTATTATCTGCACAAAGAAGAAAAATGACCCGATGGGTCTTACAAAGGCCAGTTCAACCTATTTATACTTTGGACTTTTAAGCTACTAACCGGCTAAAGCTACAAATATTACAGTGTTGCAAAAATAGCCCAATCTACAAAATGGCTCAAATGAACAAATCAAAATAAACATGCTACAATACTAAACATGCTATACTACTATTTGTGCTTTGGCTTAGAAGCCAAGTACTCCATTAGCTCAACATAATTTGAAGTTGAAATAATGGTTAGAGCAGTATTTTCAAGTTAAATACTAGTTGTATTTTCCACTCAACTTCAAATACCTTTTTTTTAACATCAATCAAATATTATTATATAAACGTATCTAAGAAAACCTGCAATGTTATCTAAATCAAGATAATGCTTAACAAGTAGGTCTGAGAGTGGCAAGCATAACTCTTTTCTCCCTTAGATATTCCTAGTGAAATATCTTGCATGCCCAATTTATACTAGACGAAAGGTGAATTTGCTACTTTACGCCCATGTTACAACTTACAAGCAATAACAAACAAGTTAGGTGAACGGAGAGGAAAACTTCTAGCATTTGGTGCTAGAGCTGTGTTGATCAAAAGTGTATTATAAGCAGTCACACTCCATTTATTCTTTTATTTTTTGATAATCTATGTGTATGAGCTAGTTTTCACGCACTCGACTATTTCATCGGATGCTTGTTGTCTTCCATCAGCACAAATACGGGATAGCTCCTACCAGAGCTAAGGAATATGAGAAGAAATGATCTAAATTTCTTTTTCTCTATTGGAATTTGAACCTCGATTTTCTATAACTTTCACCTATTTCATTGGATTTTGAGATGTAAAGATGTGCTTATGGTGAATCATACGAACAAGGCTTTTGTTTGGAGTGATCTTTACGAAAGCTAAATATATAAGACAATGGTAGCAAATGGCATCAGGAGAATTCTCATATTTGGGCAACACCAATGCAAATTGAGGAAATAGAACAATATATACTTTGGCAAATGACAAGTGAAGAATAGCTCTTCATATTTCTGATGGGAGAACATGAGTGCTATAGTTATGTACTGGTTGCTACTATTTATTTCCTTCACAGCGTCCTAACACTTCGTAGCAAAAATAAATTTGATACATCCTTCAGTTTTTCAAGTGCTCAATTCATGTGCCGTTATTCGGCATCTTAACACACTAGGAAAAAACAAGGAAAAGAAAAGGATGTACTGTACTTGTACAAGTATAATACTTAGAGAAGAACAAATTATCAATGAAAGAATGTTCCCAGCATTAATTCCAGATTTGGCGACAGAGGTACAAGAGGAGTCCCTATACAGTATGTTTTCTGAGTACTGCTGATCTATATCAATCTAACCTCGAGATTTCCATTCTCGAGAACCAACACTGATACGAAAAAAGAAGAAGATGGTCACATAGCAGGAAGATACTCTAAATGATGTTACATGTAATAAAAGGCACAGATTGTGAAGCTCGAAAGAATGAAAGGGAAATCTATGTTGCTCTACAACTATGATCAGTGGCGAAGCTAGGATTTTCTCCAAGGGTGTTCAAATTTAAAAGTGAAATATTTTTCCGACAAAGGGTGTTCAATATGTGTTATATACCTCTAAAACGTAATATTTTACCTATGTACACAGTGTAATTTTTCGACGAAGGATAGTCAATTGACCACCCTTATGACCATGTGGCTTCGCCACTGTTTATGATAACTATCTATGATAAATCGCTCCATAAATTATTGATTCTTTTGATAATGACTGCTATTGGTCGAGTTGAGAAAAGGTCGGGTGGTGGTGGACTAATGTCTTCTCAACATCATCATCATCATCATCAAAATCAAGTCCATCTTCGTCATAATCCATTTCAACAATGATTCTGTCTTCAAGGTGCTCTTCGGATTCAGATGACTTGGCTTGTGAATATTGTCGAGTCGTACCAGAAGTATCCAAGCCCATGATTTGCATCTCTGATTCTATCAGTGCTTCCATTTGAGCCCTCTCCTTATCCCTTGGATACGTGCAATAGAGAAAAGAGTAAATCACACAGCATAATGCCATTGGAGTTCCTATGGAAGCGAACAACGCTTGTGCCAAAGCTTTGGCATTTCCTCTGTCTGTCGCAATACTTTCAACACCTTCAGGAACTGGTTTATAACCGTACACATTCTGAGCCAGTAGTCCAACAACAGGGGGAGCAAAAGACGACAGTACAGATTCAAATGATCGGTCCAGAGCATAGATACTTGTTCTTGACTTCTCAGGCACTATCTCTGCAAAAATTGGACTGTTGGCACATCAGCATAATATGCAATCAAGAAATTCATACTGACAATGCACAACGAGTGCTGAAATGTAACCTTAGGAAGGAACTCGATCCTCACCCTTTTCATGACCAATGATCTACTCACAAGTTAACTTTAAACGGGTATATTTCTTTCTAATTTGGCAACACAATAACAAACTACTCCTTCTACAACTTCATGTACCAATCATTCACTCCTATAAATAATGTGTTTTCTTTAGGCCTTATTTAGATATTAGATAATGACTAATTTACTTCATTGACCAAAATCTCTTCTTCCACCACTCCAATCAAAACATTTTGAGTTGCTAACCAAAGAATTCTAAAGGCAAGGAAATGGACAATAGAAGTGTTGTGTGAAGATCATTACTTGTTTGTAGCTGGAGCATTCCAAGATATGCAGAATCCTGTAATAAACAGGATCAGACCATGCATGAATGCCGAGGAAGGATCGTCAGGCAAAGCCAGCATAAGGATTGCCGATAGGGGAATAGCTGAAGCTGAACTTATTTGCGCCAGAATTATCCTGCCACAATTTGGTAGGCGCTGGGATAACATGTCTCCCATCCTGCCTCCAAAGAGTCCTCCAACGGAACTTCCAACCACAAACAAGCCAATAAGTACAGCAGTCTTCTCATGGGAAAGTCCAGTAAGCTCTAACCACATTGGAGCAAAGGACAAAGCTGACCAGGGAAAAGAACCAGTAACACCCTGAGCTACAATAATCTGGAAAGATCGAATCTTTATGACCGATTTTGCTTCTTGAACGAGACCTTGCACTTCCGACATGAAGGATTTACAATTACCTTCATCAGTAGCCTTTAGACGGCCATCTGGGAAGTGAGGATCATTTGCATATAAGCGAACCAAAATACCAATAATAATGCTGACGATCCCAACGAGATGAAATGCGAGCCTCCAGCCAGGAATTCCCAAAAATGTAACGGGCGCTATCATTAAGGAGAACAACCCACCAATTATTGAACCAATATTGCTAGTAAGCTGTAGCCATCCAAATGCCATCCCACGTTTGTCATCATCAGTCGAGTCAGCTACAAGAGATTGAATAGCAGGTGCAACTATGGCTAGGCCTATCCCATTTAAAGCTCTCGATACTGCCACCTTATCAAGCAAAGGTGCATAACTTTAGGAATCCGTTGACATATCCATAATTCTAGCATTAATCAGTTGGTTTTCCTAGAATGCTATTCGCATATGTACATCAATGGACTACAAGTTGGGGGATGGTGGGGAGGTGCTGCACGCAAATGTAAACACAATCCAAAGACCTAGTGGTACTCGAATTGAACACACTCTTTATTCGATAGAATCAAGAGAAGAGGAGGTCAAAAGTACCCTCATGCTTTGCAAAATATCTTAATTTTAACATCCGATCCTAATGGAGCTCCAACCTAAAGTATGACGGAGGGTAATTTCAACTCAGACTCAAAAGTAGAGGGTAAATTTGGACATCTTTCCCGAAGTGTTTAGAAAATAAGATATTAATAGAGGAGTAACTTTGGATCAATGAATTCAAAAAATCAAAAATGAGAATTGTATTTATGTAACAGACAGACCTGAGAGAAGGTAGAGGAGAAAGCGACGAGGAAAGTGGCGGCAGCCCAAAGAAAAGCACCATAGGCGATAACATGGGCCCGGTTATGGCGAGCAGCTAAGTAAGCAGCAAGAGGATAACACAGGGACTGAACCATGGACCGGAAAAGCGTGAGGGAGCCCAACCTCGTTGGATCAGCATGTAGTGCTTCACCAACTTCCTTATAAACACCAGGTAACAATGATTCGTCCGCCCTTTCCATTATTCCCGCTAAGTTCACCAGCACCAGTGTTACTGTTTCTGCCTTCATTTTTCTCTCTGTGCAAACAAAATTGTGTCAAGATTTTGATAAACCCTTTTTAACTGTAAAATTGAGGGGAAAATGGGGATTTGAATTAAACAGTAGCTGACAATTGCTGATGAACAAACTGATGAGTCACCGTTGACCCTAACAAATTTCACTCTCCATTTTCCGCTCAATAATTAGAGTATGTTTTACCTGGGAGAGAGTGCTGAATTTTATACTCCTTGATATAGTTTTCAACCAAAATAGTAAAATTAACATGTCTATTGGCAATAAACTTTATTTCCACAATATTGTGAGGAACTTTTTTTTATAATAAAAAAGGTATCAAAATTTGAAGGTGCCTCATCTCCAAGGGTTATTTCGATTGAAATATAAGAGAATTTTTATTTTTGTATAAAATTTTATATTACCTATAAGTCGTTTAATTTTCGGTATAAAACCGTGCATGATTAATAATCTTTATATAACTAATACATAATTTAGTTACTAATATTATGCTATAAAAAGAAATTTATGTATGATTACATACGCGATAAAATGTAGAATAATATGTCGATAAGAGTATCATATATAAAATTTTCCTTAAATTAGACAATTTTTCATAAAAATCCCTTGTGAATATTCACAAATTTATTAGAATTATTAACCTGTTTACCTACTTAATTCTCCATATATTATGTTAAATTTGTATATTTTCTTCATATTGTGACAGTAATATAGTTATAAATATCATCTGAATATGATATATTTCTACATAAAAAGATGAAAAATACACATTTAATACATTAAAGTTACGTATACTAAGTCATATATCACAAGGAACAAAATTAAATTTACTAATAATTGATAGACCAATGATGCCATAATCCACTTTTGCTTTTAATGAACTCGTGTAGTAGTAAGTACTCTTTCATCTTTAACCACAGGTTTCGAGTTCGAGCCCTGGGTATGAAGTTGTCTTTGTTAGAGCGCTTTACACCATAATATAGGACTTCCTGACGCGAATATGAATTTAGTCGGGCTCCAATGCAGGTAACGCTGGATGGAAACAAAAAAAAACATTGAGGTTTGGAGGGTGGAGCTTATAGAGTAACCGCATTCCCTTTCTTGTTTTGGATCCCTTAGAATATTCCTTTGAAGATGCTGTTCCCATTTGGGCCTCAAAATTTCGGCCCAAACATCAAAGTGGACAAACCACTATTCTTCACCAACTTGGGCTAGTGTGGACTTTGGAGCCCTTCAAATTGACACTTGTTTTTGGGCTTTAATGTGAATTGCAAAGATGACTTTTATCAATTCTTCTTTCTAGAACATCGGATAAGATCATAAGAATGAATATATGTCAAATCAGTTACATTGAGAGGTCTGTTAGTTTCCAAACTCTCTAGAAACTTAACTTGACTTTGGAGTTAGTAGTAATAATAATACAAGTAAAAGCTTTACCAAAAACATAAATTTGAATATTAAAATATGAGACGGACAAAATTTTCTTAAAACTTGGCAATTCTGTCAAAATGATTATGATGGGCAAGATAATGAAAATGATACATCTCCAACTCGAATGTTGGGCCTGAGAAGAGACCCCAAAAATCAAAGCCCAGTCCAGTTCAGAGTTGAAGGTCGTTATCGTAATCAATTGCGGGAATCGTGCGGTGGTACGGCCCTGTGGAGTAGTGGGCCGCCAATCCCTATCCTACTCTACTTACTAAACACCGGCCCCACTCTCTGGAAAAGACATAAAGAATAGTCGGATGACTAAAATGCAAGAGTAGTGACCCTCTTTTTTTTTTTCTTTTTTTTTTCATATGAAGTATTAAATAATCTCAAAAAATGGCAAATTTTATGTTTTAACTTAGTAGAATGAAGTGGGTTTAATCAAATTATTATACTATGACAATTGGGTAAAAATAATTTTTTTTTGATTAAATATGAGTTGTTGGAGCCCTCGACATGAAGAAAAATTCAAGTATTATAGTGAATGAGATTCAAAAGTTACTTTAAATCATACATTTAAATGTAAACTGTGATATCCTATTTTTTTATAATCTCCTTATATAAATAGCTGGTTCTGCCGCCACTGACGTAACTTCCAAACTCATGTTTTCTGAAATTTTACTTGCAACACTTCGAACACCAAAAACATTTCCTCAAGTTCATGTAGCTATTTTTTCAACTTTTTCACTGCATCTTAAAATATGATTATTTTTAAATTAGGACCACCGACTATATTTTTATTAGCCACTAATGACTACCTAATATTCTGTTTTACTTAAATGTGTTATATATTGTCATCACATAAAGTTAAAATTTACAGGAAAAAAAAGTATTCAGGGAAAGCACATCGTATTAATTCCTTCCTCGAATGGCGCCTCCTGCTTGTCTGCTGCGTTGCTTTCACCGTAATGTAAGCATCTCACGTTATTTATAACGTCATTTTGTGTCATTAAATACTTATTAATTCTCATATGTTTCCCCTCTACAATTTACTTACCTCCTTTAGTTTAACACATTATTTAAATAGAATTATAAAAATTGATTGTATTACTTTAAAAAAATATTTTTTGTTGTACATAAGATTGGATGCGGAGAATATATAATGAGGAATGAAACCCCCCACGTAGATGGCGGAAGTTTGAGCAGCCTACCAAAAGGAGCTACGCTGAATTTCCAATTGGTTGTAATATTAACTGGTGGTTTACCTAAAATTTTTATAATGAATCAGTTCTCATTATATACAAAAATATCAAATTTGATTGCAGTTGTGACGGATAAACTAATATGTTCAACAAGTGGAAGAATATAATTCTTTTCTACTTTCTTATTAGCATTGAACGTTGACATGGCACGTTTAATTGCTGATAAATATGTCTAACTTTGAACTTAAGTTATTAGTATAACTTACATCTTTTTTTAAAATAATTTTGGGGGTCGAGGGAACTGGTGGTGGGAGATGAACTCATGAACATATTTAAATTATTCGAATGTGCTCATTAAACACATTTTAAATAATTCATCATGCTGAAACAAGGAAAACGTTAAAATTAAAGGCCGTGGAGGCTAAAATATGCAACTTTAAAGTAATATTTTCAGTTGCATGAATCATTGCTTAGGCGGACAATAAAGAAACAGTCAGAAAACCAAAATATTTATCCATACTTCATACTCTTTATGATCCACTTTATGTGTAACTAGTACTATATATTTGGAGATTCTAAGAAGCCTTTTGTTATTGCGATTTTTGCAAATATTTCTTTTTATGTTGTTGACATTTAGATTATTAACTCTTGATTCTTTAGCACTTTTTATGTATTAAACAGATAAATTTTATTTTAAGAAACTCAAAAATTCATATTTGAATTTCAATCGAAATTAAATAACTTAGTCTTTTTAATCTGAACTATGTCACATGAAATGCAACAGTGAGAATATATTTTGCAACCTCAATTAAATAACCCTCCTAACATATTGTGTATTAAAGTAAAAGGAGAACAATTGCAAGCCTCATGCGGTCCGACTGAATTAATTGGAGCCTTTAAGGTGAATATCAAATATCGGGTGAGAAATCAAAAAGAAAAAAAATAAATACAATAACACCTTTGTAATTCCAGTGGCCGTTGAAAGAGCAATTTCCCAATGCAGTAGTACCCGATAGAAGGTGGTATAGTGGGAGACAAATGGGGTTCTTGAAAATCATATAACTGCACCTAAGGCAGGCAAAAATGCTGTCAAAATGTCCCTTAAGAATCTACATAATTCGTCGTTTATAAATTAAAAAAGAAGGAAAAATTCTTAGTATTCATTCGACCAGGAGAATATTACTATACCATTCGAGACCACACAATCACACCATATATACACTCACTTTCCACTTAACAAAAGGAAGTCTACTTGTTTGTTTTTTCATTGAATATTGCATTATATTACTTTTAGCAAATATTTCTAGTTCAGCACCTCAACAAAGGTTAGGTTTTTAAATTCATTCTAAGTACAACAACAAACCCAATGTAATATCATATAATAGGATTTGGGGAAGGTAGAGTGTACACAAACTTTATTCTTATCTTGTGAAGATAGAGAGGTTGTTTATGATAAACCATCGACAAAATGTAGCTTAGTTTATTGAATCATTTCATGTCCTTAGAATTGAAGCCCCCAAAAAAATTCATAAAGTCAACTAAACGTGTCCATTCACAATGACAAAAATTAATAAACAGGGAAAAGATAATTTAAATCGCAAAAGCAGAATTAATAACTCCTTAAGAAAGTTAAGCAAAACTACAGTATACTTACTTGAAAGAGGACTTTAGACAGATTTCTCCCTTAAACACTAGAACAAAGTTCTTTATCTTTAATTAATCCTTTTATATAATACTACAAACAGGAATTATCTACTTATCTCTATCATTTCCCAAGAAAGAAAAATTCTCAAAGTCAACGTACCAAAATTGCACCAAAAGTACAGAGGCAATAGACAACGCTGTAACCATTCTAGAGCTTACGACTTTGAAATTGGCAAGCATGTCATGTTCGTTATTGTACTGCTACTATACATATCAATTGGCAAAGATGTACGAAGATTATAGTTCGACCAAAACGTGTAAATTTTTTATTAAACTAATTAATTTTATATAGTGAAGGATTAAGCCTAGTTGATAATAATATTCCTGGATTTATAACTTGCTAACACGAATAACGCAGGGTAGCGTTGGTGGGGGATTAAATGCATGTACATTCAATATTTCAAGAAGAGTAATGATGGAAGAATATCAAGCAATAAATAACAATAAATTGCATTAACGTAAATAAGGGGAATGATTCACCCAATATCGAATTAGAATTTTTTTTTTTATATGACAATAATAAGTGATAGATAAATCCTAGAATATTGAAACTATTCTCAGATCTGATAGAAAAGTCTGAAATAATGGATGGTGGAATCTTATTAGAAAGATAATGTTTGTATTTTTTTTCGAGAGAGTCTTCTTCTCAAAAAGCGTTCTTATCAGAAAGAAAATATTGCATGCCCCTTTCCCCTTATCTCTTTTTCTCTTTATATGGGACATATCCCTAGTCAACCCTAAAAGTACCAGTACATAGAATATTCAGTGGAATATTCCCTTAAATATCCTATTACAAAAACTAGCCGTTAGTACCGTCCTTGGTACTTGACCTCGGCCGTTATTG